TACAATACCTAAGCAAGAGAAAATAGGAAAATGATAGCTATTGACCCAACTGTACAAAATAAAGTTAGAGTTTNACGGGGGGGGGGGGGGGGGGGGCTATGATATTTATCATCATTAATTTCACTTTTGAAGCTCACAAGAATTTCATGCTTGAAATTTGACTCTTTACTGTTAATAAGGTCAGAGAAATTAAAGTAAGATTTTAAAGATGAGTAGTAACTTTTTTTAGCCACAGCATATTCTTCACGACTGCACGATCGACAGATGAGCAATGAGCAGCTAGCAACCCTCAATTAATTAATTTACTTTTAATTCAATGCCAAAGTAATTAATGTTGAACAACACAGCATCTATTATAGTTCCCAAGTACAGACATTTATTACTGTTTTACTGAAGGTAATACCATGCAATGCTACACTAAGGATTCAGATCTTCAATACTACTATAACCAGTGGCGGACCCAGTATTTTGTGCAAGCGAGTTCAATCTTAGAAGTCTATAACTTTAATCGTAAAATAGTAGTTGTCAAGTGGGTTCAAATAAATATTTATACAAAATTTACACAGCTTTAATCCTAATTTACACATATACACAGTATTATTTTTTGGTGAAGCGGGTTCAGTTGAACCACTAGCCGCCACTGACTATAACTATAGCAAACATGTTCTTCTCTTCCTTGTTAAGTAGAGTTACTATTTAAATATAATAATTCGGATGATATTTCTCAACAAATATATTTTGCTATTTCAAAAATGAAGTTTCTGACTTTGGATAAAAAAATCTTGTAAAAAAAAAAAAAGAAGAGAAAAAGACAATAATACTTTTTTTTTTGTGTGTTAAAATTATAAGTTTCAATGAAAAACTATAGCTCTAAGGGAATTATCGTTCTCATTTAAATAGTGAAAGATGTACATTATTTCTTGACGCTTGTGGTTGTTTGGTCGCAAAATGGATATCTAGTGATTAACAACTCCAGCATTTGAAATTGCTATCTATATGGATAGTTTTTTAATACCACTATTTTAGTATAAAAATTTGTACCGATATTTGCTAATATCTATAACCAACTATAAAATAAATACAATCTCAAACTCTATCCTGAATTATAATTAAAATTTCGGTAACCAAACGACCCCTTAAAATTTAAGGGGTAAAATGAAATTTGCACTTACAAAGAATAGTAGAGAGAATATACTACTCCCTCCGGTCTATTTTAATTAATTTTTTTCGTTGTTTTTACACAAATTAATAAATTTATCTTTTAGCATTAATTAACAACGAAATTGACCATATTAATATACATTTATTTATTGAAAATACAACAGATACTCCTAGGCTCTTTATTTCAAGGGGAACTTCGGAAAAAAAAGTCAAATTTTTCTTGATATCTAGAAAAAATAAAATATTGTGGACCACAAAGAAAATCAAATAATCAATTAAAGTGAACCAGAGGAAGTAATAAATAATAGGC